TACTCCCATTGTCTTCGGACCTCAATCCCATTGAGCACATGTGGGATCCGTTGCACAGAAGGCTTTCCGATCATCATACGCAGCCAGTTGTCCTCCAACGACTTAGTGCAGCGTAGGCACATTTATGGTGGGAGATTCCTTACAAAAATAATGACAACCTTATTACCAGTATGCCTAACATGTGTATAGAGGTTTTATCTAATAGAGAACGTTACACACGGTATTAATAGTTTGGAAAACCATTGTGTCCAATTAAAAAATAATGGAATCAAAATCTTTTATTTTCTTCTTTTTCAAAATCCCTTAATTACATTTTCCTTCTGTAAATAAACATAATAATTTCTAATTTACTTTCATTTATAATAAAAATCAAACAAAATTTCTAGGGAAAGTAAATACTACAAAATTGGCAATATCCCAATTCATTTTTGACTAGTATATAAAGATGCGGAATTGCACCTAATTGAGGATCGATGCCAAAAAATACATTCACTCTCAATATACAAAACTGACACTACTATAAGAAAACAACCCTGTTTCATCCAAAAATCGGTAACTCAGTTGCCACACGGGGGCAATTTTAAAAATAATTCGTTTAGATTTTGAGTTAACTATGTGCCGATGATCATTCGTCATTTAGTTGAAAAATCATCGAATTAAAAGCTTCTATTCACCATAAAATAGGTGAATTTATTTGTCGGACATCGGGTTATTCAGATCGTCAAGTATTTCGCGCCATTTTTCCATATCCATAATAAGTACTGTCGGTATTTTATTTTTACGGCGTTTCAATCGTCATCGTTACAGTAATTTAAATTTTCGTTTCTTATAATCCTTGTAAAGTCTCGCTTTTTCATAATTCAGTATTATTAAAGTGTCTTGTAAATGATATGTATATTAAATTGTCTGGTAATATACATTTAGTTTTTACCGGTTCTAATTCTAGAATAATGAGAACCGAATGATTTTTTTTTAATCATTGGGTAAATTTGGCATCAAAATTGATATGCAGAAACATAAAAGCTATTCGTGTTTTTATGAGAGCGAAAAAATAAACTTAAAACTAAAGTTTACATAAACATTAGATAACGCCATAAATGTAATATAATAGGCTTATGTAGCAGGAGTCGCGGGATCGTTTCCACCCGACTGAGGATTAGCCATACGCGGTTGACACACGGGCACCTACTTTTGGGCCAAAGCACGCACAGGTGCCCCTTATGCAGAGAAAGGTTGCTCGATGCGTCCCACATAATAGAGGCGTGTCATGCCTTTGCGCCATACAGAGAGCGTGTAGGCATGCCGTCGGACTTAAGAAAGGTTCTCGAGCACTGCAGCGAGTTTCAGGCTCCCCTGTTCCGCTTTTTAGGGGAAATTGGGCTTTTTTTATTGTACATATTATGTCTTATGTGTTGTGTGTCTATATGTTTTGTCTGAGTGCATGTATTTATTAGCGTGAATGGCGAGGGGTGAGGGTGAAATATAACATCATCATCGCCCCTCGAACGTTGAGAGCGTATGAGTGTATGTTAGGGGTCGATGGCGGAATATTTATAAAAGTACTCCATCGACCCCAATCTAGATTAGTTTGAGTATAGGTCGGTGGAGGAATATGAAGTACTCCACCGACCAAACGGAATGAGTGTATTGTATGAATGTATTTATTTGTATGAATGTAGTGTTTGAAAGTGTAAATAGAATGTTGACTTAGTTTGGGGCTGGATAATTTTCCTACTAGACAAAACATCGCAATATTTTACATGTATTAATATTATTCTTTATATTGCTAGGGAGACACTTTACTGATACTGCCAGGAAGAGGAGGAGACCGCAGAACACATTTTGTTTTTGTGAAAGTCTTTGTAGGTACAGGTTTTTATAAGGAAAAACCACAAGGAAGATCCTACACTAAGGAACCGCTGGCAAGGCTCTGGAGGTCGATTAACAACCTGAAACTGAACAGTCAGTTATAAAAACCGGGGAGCACCATAGATCTACCCAAGTCGAGGTGCAGAAGGCCTTGTGGCCGCCTCTTTTATCCATATCCCTTCCTCTAGTATTTTGCTATTGGGAACTAATTTAACTGATTTATCAGGTGAATGAAAATAAACAGAAAGAAGCAGAGTCCAAGTATTGTTTTACTTTCTAAGATAATAATTGGCATTGCATATTTTGTTAAATTTGGACATTTTTCACCAAATATATGGGAGTTTTTTTTTCTCAAGAAAATTTAAAACAGATTTACAAATTTCACTGAAAATTTTTTATTTTTTATTTTAGCTGCATATTAATTAATTTCTGGCAAATATTTTTCAATTTGCACCTGTTAAAGTACAAAAAGTCCACTATTTTGCTATGACATACAATTTTGATCTACCGGATGCCCGTTTTAAAAGTATTTTGGACTTGAAGCTCAGGTGTCGTGTACCAACACTCTTCAGCGTCCACCAACAACCGCTTTTATTTTTCTTATTTTATTTTATTTTTTTCTTTAAAGATAGGTTCTTACTAATGCGATCTTTGACACGTTTGATCGCAGACCCATTATTTTTGTGCGTTAAATGAGTATTACTTAGACCAAGCCCCTACTAGCAGCCGTACGCACAGACTGACCGTGCTACTGCATACTTTATTTCAGATCTTTTTTAGAGGATGTGGTTAAAAACCATTAACAACGTGCCAAGTGAGTCTGCGTGACCAGAAGAACAGCCAAGGAAAGGTCCGTCGAAGAGGATACATTAGGATATTATTTACTTTTAAATACCTACCTAGCGCTTTCAATATTTTTAATTATGTTACAATAAAATCCATCCTGGTGGGGAACATTATGTACAGTTGGTGCAATTTAGATAAAGAGGACCTTCCTGCTCTTGCTAGTCTATGAAACAGTTATGTCTGGGTAAACATGTCCCCTCTATCCCCAGAATCCCTACTTGGTTAATAACACACAATTTCATATTGTTACGGACATACACGATTTAGTTAACGTGCCACAGTATTTATCGTGCTGTTATAAAAAGGGAAGGTGTCCCGGGGTAATGTGCACGTACAGAGATGATACACAAATCGCTGTATGGAATGGGTGCAATTAAGCTTACTTATGCGATCATTGACACATTTTAATCACAATCTCTTTATAGGTAAATTGGTATTAAAAGAGTATAACGTAATTTAAAAATTGAACAACATCGCAATAAGAGTTCGACATTAAACAATTTATTTACTCTTATATTCGTTCCAACGCCGTAGACACGAAACATAGTTTTCGCGGCTTAAAAAATTTGCTTACTGTGTTTTATTAATTATTCTATAAAGATTTTTTAATAATTTTTAATTTTATTCAGTGAGCATTTTAATATTTTAGATTGTGTGGGTTTCGTTTGAGGGGTTGGGCAGAAGGGACTTGAAAAGGTGTAAGTGGGCACGAAAAAGGTTGGGAAAACTCTTCTGTACTAATTGTAGGCCAAAATAGACCTGAGATTGTAAAATAATTTTTTAACCGTTTTCGATCACTTCTTCTCGTTTTTCACAAGTAAATTTTTTTAAACATCACCATTTTAATCGTCTCGATCTGTTTACTGTTTCTGGACTTTTATATGTATACTATATAGACATCCTAAAATGCTAGCCTATCGTTTGTACCTCACGACACAATACATATAACACATATCCCCTATACAAATAAAACAACTTGGGCAGGAGTAGAGTCCACTCTATTCTCGCTAATAACTTACTTTTACTCTCCAAACGTCACGCTCATCCAGAATACTCGATTTTTTCGAGGTAGGGCTCTAATTCTAAAAAATATTTTAATTAACATATCTTTTAAAACAAAATTCAGTGGTTTTAAAACCGATTATATCCAGGACACAATGATTGAATTATTATTTCATTGTTAAATTGAAAAATTAAATGCCTTAATCCACGTTATTTGGCTTCAATTTCTACTTTCTTATCCGGCTGTTATTTATCCATCCCATTATTTTTAATCTCGATATTTTTCCTCATTCGTTCATATCCAATTCAGTAACAACATCTTTCCCCTTTCAAATCATGGTCTTTCGTTCAATCCTCCTCTACTCTCTCGCTCTTTCCACCGATATAATAAATAGACAACGTGTGGTTCTCCCCCATCCCTCTCTCTCACTCTCCCTCTCTCTCACTCTCCCTCTCTCTTTCTCTCTCTCTCTTTCTCTCCTTCTATGTCTATGTGTGTGTGGGTTTATGATCAAAGAAAACTTTACTTCAGAGAATTTATTTTTACCCCTGGCCTATATTGATTACTGGTCCAATACATTAAGGTATTAACTAAATATAACTAATATAACTGTCACACTTGATGTACTACAATAATATCCAATTTGTTTAAACGTTTTACTTGTAAACTACAACAGAGCAAAGAATTGTATTTCGATATTGACATACATTTATGTTTTAGTGGGTCCTTGAACCAAAGTAATTATTTTTTGTGCAAAATATCGAAACTCTGTCTAACTGAAGAATTAGTGTCACGACATCTAGACTGGTTCGAGTCCAGCTCGTTAGACTTTTTTTCAAATCGACTATACTTTGCATAGGAAATAATAAACCAATTAAAAAATAACAGGAAAACCAAGTCACATTAAAAGTTATCACTAATTTGAACTAATAAGTAAGCTTGTTCTCGTCTTTAAAATTAGAAATTAGTATTTTTAATTAAAAAAATTTCTCTGACTTCTCTTGATTTCCGACTTATTTCAGTTGCCATGCCAATGATTATAAAAATTGAAATTAACGGTAAATACTTATTTAGTCTTCTTTCTTTATTGATCTTCAGCATATTTTTTGGACGTCTTTTATTATTTATTCGTGAAAGAATATGAAGAGTTAGAAACCGTAAAATTTTTATACTACATCATACGCAAACGATACTTGGAGTTAATAATTTCCCTCTTCTCATATTTCATAGGACACAGGTCAAAACTCATATTTGATTTTTTAATAAATAAATGCAAACTCACCATGTACGTCAACACAGCCCACTTGCTTCTTCATAATGTTTGTGTTGATTTGGCACATGTAGCAGCCTCTGTCCGACTCCTTGAGCTGTTTTATGTGCAGCCTCCATGTTCTTTGGTTGTCGTGGGTCACGTGGATCCTCGAGTTGTGAGTGACAACCCTTTGGTGGAGACTCAAAATTGTTTGGTCCTCTGCTTTCATCCACCCCACCTAAAAATTCATATTATAAGACGTACGGTATTATTAGAAATATGCTGTATTTTAGTATTTTTCTGCCATAATTGTGTTCAAATAAAAGTATTAGGCCTAAAAATGATAAAATAATGTAGTGTTGTATTTTTTTACGTAACTCAAATTTTAATCAATATAAATAAATCAATTATGATTGTTTTAATTGAATATTAATGGAAATATTTTTACTCAAACCGTTCCGTTGTTTGTTTTATATCGGATGATCCCTTAACGCAGAAATACCTTAAGGAAATTCTCCTCTGAATAAACCCGAGCCTCTCGATATCAAGCCAAAAATAAACCAGCTCCGACTTACCTTAATAACCCGATCAATTAACTGGGATCAATTTCGAAACCCACTAAAACATTAACTGAACTTAAATGCTTTCTGGAATATAAACAACTGCTCGAAAACGTAGAACAACTGAATAACTTCATACAACAAAACATCTCCCATTTTGACAACTTACACGTATTCCAGTAGACCAACATTGTTTTAGAAATTTCTGTTATATCTTGGAAAATGGATAACACTAGACCCTAAGGCAAGAACATCTCCCGTTACTTTTGAGACAAAAGCTCACTCAACTAAAATACATAAACACGTCCCACCAGCTCTGAGAAATAGAGGGAACATGGGTCAAATCCAACGAAGAAAAGCACCATTACACAGTATGTATCAACAATCTCCAAACCATGCCACACAATATCCAATTCATTTCCTATTATCAACGAACTTATTTGAACCTCTAAACTTTCCAAACCCCTCAAATTAGTTAAGCATATCAATTGCAAACTCCGAAAAATTCAAAGTTCTGATTACGAAATAACATCTTATCTCTAAAAAAGCGATAATCATCTCGATCAATTCATCGCTGTCCTACACATTACCTAATTCTTTACATTAAAAATTCTCTACTATCAGGACTATTGCTAAACAAATGAAACCTATTCGCATCCCCAGTCCTTATAGTCTTTCATCTACCCCCCATCAGTATTTTGTCTATAATCGGTAAGATTCTAGAAAAGCAATCGTTTCTTCAGCCGGCGAAGAGATTTAGAGGGAATTTATCGGGATGCGAGCTTTGAATGCACTGATTTACGGTGGTCTGGGTGGTTTTGTGAAATTTGTGGAAACGAGAACGGATTTCGTCTTTAACGAAAGAAATATTTATATCTGTATGTGTAGTTTCGTTTGATGTATCAAAATTCAGCATCAAGGATTTTTCGAAGGATTAAGAATTGGGCAGTTTGTATACGTTGGATGTTTGAATGTTTGGCTGAACCCCACACTTCCAGTCCGTATGCCCACATCGTTTTAACAATGATGCTGTAAAGCAGAATTTTATTTTTGAGAGTTATGTCAGAGCGTTTCTCTCATACCTTTTTGCCGTTTCAGACTGTGTGAGTATTCCACGTCAAGCGTTTGTTGATGCTCAGCCTAAAGTACCTCACCTTGTCCTCAGTTCAGAGGAGAATATTAATTTAAGTAATATTTTCTTTGGTGTTCGATCACCAGCTATCCGTTATCTACATGTACCTGTTCATATAATTTAAGTAAGCTAGAGGGGATATAGGGGCAGGCAAAAGAAACCATAATGTGGGTGGATTTGTCTGTGTTGATTTTTAATTTTTTTCCAGTTAAGTTTTTAGCACTGAGAGGTGTTGAAGGTTTCGAGTGGGCATGACAAGATCAGACTTACTAGGTAGGATGTCCCGGACCTTTTAGGGATGGGGTACGAGTCTACCCAGGCATTTAACCCCTCGGGTCTTGGTCGCCCACCCTGCCTAATATATATATATATATGTGTGTGTGTGTGTGTGTGTGTGTGTGTGTGTTGTGTTTGTGTACTAGTAGGATTCGTCTGCAAATGTGCGAGTGGTGTTTGGAGAATGTGACGGAACGTCAGCTGTATAAACCTGGTATAGTTTTGGGGCCAAAATGTTACCCTAGGAACACCAGCATGGATACGGAAATATGGCAGAGGGAATTGCCTTCAAAGACTCGAAAAAACCGGTCAATGAGATAGCTTTGTAGAAAGAGAAATTCGGGTAAGGAAATGAATCCCTTGAGCATGAACAGCAAGCCAAACTCAATCAAAAGCTTAGCCCAGATCATTACTGCCTCATCTTAAGGAGGAAATAATGTCTACCATCGGATGGTTGGTATAGTTGGATACCAAGGCAGTTGCGATTCGTTTCTTCTCTTACTCTAAACATATGTCAATTCTTTACTTTTCACACCAAGACCCTAGTAATGTGATGTGTTGATCATTACGTATGATGGTTTTGAAGATTTAATGGAATATCAGCTGGGTGCACCTGTTATAGTGTGGGGTCACCAGTTAAAATTATATTCTATATCTTCTAGATTTGGAGAAAAAAATGGTTTAACGTTACGTTTCAGAAACCAGAAAAATAATACAGTTGGTGAAAAGATTAAGTTTGTATCAGTTTTGCATTAAAAATGCCGACAGTGAATACTTTTGTACTGTTCGGCTCAAAAAACTAATAACTCATTTGCTGGTTCTATAGTCAAGGACAAAGAGATCGCAGAGGTTATAGCCGTATCAACGAGCATTACCATCTCGACAGATTTCTCGTCGGAATCCTTAAACCCTCTCATTATAACGATTTTAATTTGCGCCACCGTCTCCCTGCGATTTAGGGCTGTATGTTCTCTCATTCTACACTTTTGAATTTCATTCCCCTTTCCCATTATGTCAGAACTCCATTTAAGCTGGCTTAACGCTGTTTTCGGTTGGACTGTACTACACTGATGCGTTAATACTGATTTTTAAATAATTTTGACTTTTCCCTTTTAAATCGAGTACAGATTCGGTGTAAATAATGAGAGAGCCTGGTACGCAATGACTGAGCGCGAGTCGCAACAATTATTTACAGGAAGGGCGCTCCGTGACTTATCTGTTAAAGCATAGCTGAAGCTTATTAATGTCCGATATCCTGCTAAATTACATGCAAGCCGGTAACTTTAATACAAAAATTTGTAGCTGTATGTAAATTTTTGTTAAATATATATTTTTCCCGACGAAAGTTTAATAAAGAATATTTAACTTTTAGCACAAGACCGACTTTGACACATTCTGTTCAAAAAAGTATTTCAAAAACAGTCATGAACCAGAACTGCACAGTCAATTATTTAGAAATACGTTATATTAGTGGTATTATCCCACATTTTTATGCCGTTTTTTTTAATAAGGTAATCATGTAATACACTCTATGTGACGATTCAGCATCTGTGTGTCATAATCATGAAATTTACTTCTGAAAAGAAGCAGCGCACTTGGTATTGTTGACAGATGCGCTTAAACACATGCTTTGGCTAACGACGGACGTAGCGTCCATTTCATAGCCCAAGTCCGGGGTGTACCGCGCCACACTGTCATACATGATGGTCTTCAGTGGTTTAGTCCTCCGGAGAATTATCACCGGCGATTATTAACAATTCGATGATTGGGATCGGATATGTGGTCCAAAATGAAGTAGTAGTCTCTTTTGTTCCATGCTTGCGGCTTTTTGAAGCCTTCCTCAGGGCTAGATACTTAGCTCCTTCTATGTATTGAGTTCTAAGAAATAAGGAACAGAAACCTTCGACGAGCCCAGCGCCATCAACGGGCAATCCCCTACCAGGAGCTGAACCCACAGACTTACCGCGCTACTGCATACTTTATTTCAGAGCTTATTTGGAGGATGTGGATAAAAACCATTAACAAGTCTTAGAAGGAAAAGTCGGAAAAATCCCTTCCTCAAGTATGGTGCGTACGTGCCCGGGAAGTCTGCTTCTCCCCTCGACCAGAAGAACAACCAAGGAAAGGCCCGCCGAAGAGGTTACATTAGGATATTATTTACTTTTAAATACCTACCTAGCGCTTTCAATATTTCTAATTATGTAGCTCTCATTACAATTAAATCTATCCTGGTGGGGAACATTATGCCCAGTTGGTTCAATTTAGATAAAAAGGACCTTGTTGTTCTTGCTCGTCTCTGCATCAGTTATGCCTGGGCAAACATGTTCTCACTATTCCCAGAATCCCTACTTGGTTAATAACACACAATTTCATATAGTTACTGACATACATGATTCAGTTAACGAGGTAGAATATGTCTCATGCAGTGGTGCAGCTGTTATGGAGGTGATTCAAGCATATTGTAACTCAAATACAGCCCACAACTATTTCATTTATATTTAATGCCGAGGATATTGCAATCCTAGAACCTATAAAAGTAGTTTAGGACCAAATTATTCAGCGGTTTTATGCAACAGCCAAAGTGTACTGGCAGTTACGAATCCAGCTGGCCCATGTTACCCAGTAGTATTGGAAATAAAACAAATTAAAGGAAATTCAAGAAAAGGGTTTAAACACATGACTGATATGGGTTAAGGGACACTCGGAAAACGAGTACAGTGGACTTGTTAGCCTAAGAAGCGGTAAAGACATTTCAAAGTATTCTCTCACAGTAAAAGAAATAGCAGTGCAAAAATTCAAATAACAGTAGTGCGCGAATGGCAAAGAAGGTGTGATGAAACGACTAAGGTTAAACGGAAAGAGCACGCCCAAATCCATGGTACAGTCTACAACTTGGTTTAATAAAATGGAAAGGCCCAGAAATGTTTTCGCAAGTATTAGTAAACTGAGACTGAACCACACATGTCTTCCAGTCCATCTTATTAAAAATAATAACAACTTTAATAAATTAATAATAATCTTTGTTACTTAAATTTCATGAATATCAGATCTGATTTAACTTGGTTTACATTAAAATAAGTATACGTAATCATACTGATAAAAATACATACAGTTTGAAACATATACATATACACATAGTTTTGTTTGTATTTAAATGTATGATAATACGATAATGATGATAATACGAACAGGGTTTACAAGAAGGAGATATGGCAACAATACGATAACGCACACAAGAAATGGATGCAACTATTATCTGCAGATTTAGAC